TGTTTTTACTCCTCTCCCAGCGCCATATTGTGGGAGACCAGATGCATAGAATAAGTCTTAATTCCAGTAACTTAATCTAGTCCGAGTTGCTCCCCACAGTCTATCCTGCATATTCTTTCTAAAATGTGCCCCTGGTTAATTTCCTTTATGGCATAACCTCATATCTGAATTTTTAATTTATTCTCATTATTTTCTGTCTCCCTTTCAAGAATGTTAGCTTCATGAGGACATGCATATGTCTTTCTCATTCACCACTGTATCCAGTCTTTTACACGGAGCTTGGCCCTTAAGTAGTGGACTGAACATTTGTTGAATGAATAAAGGAGGAAAATGTAAATTTGGACATTAACAATTCAGCATGGTGGTTGCTGTTAATAATGTTAGCAGTATAATTATGTTATTATGCTAATTATGTTAAATTAATTATGAAGATGAAACATGAGTTTACCAAAGGAGGTAGGGACAGTATTAGAGAAGTATCCCCATGGAGGAACCAAGGCCTGAAGAGTGAATTGGAGTTTGTCAAGTGAGAGCATTGGGATAGAATTACTGGAACAGTGTGTGTGAGCGAGGTGTATTGAGGAGTGTAAAGACCAGTGGTATTCATGGGAAGCACACACTAGTTGAACGTGTAGGGAGAGCTTAGGTGTTTCTATGGGAATTGAAGCGGGGCAGGTGAACAGGCATCATGACACCAGGAAGAATAGTCTGAATACTTAAGCTCTGTTTTCTCACTTCTTTTGACTCTTCACCATATCGTTTTTGGACTTGTACCCTATCACTCTGTTCAAACTGCATTTAAGGTCACCAAGGATCCTCTTTTTTCAGTCATCATCTTAACACAGTTAAAGAACAACATTTGACTGTGTTGACTCTCTTTTCTTTCCTGAACTGCTCTCTTCTTTGCTTTCTCTGATGGTTCTAACATCTCTTTATGTGGCTACTTCTCAGTCTTGTTGGCAGGCTTCTCTTCAGCACTGCCATCTTTAATTTTTTTTTAACATTGTGCAGAGCTCTACTCCTATCTGTCTGCTCTTGTCATTCTGCACACTCCTCGTGGGGAATGTCTTTGATGTCCACCTCTGAGATCTTTTATTTGCTTCATATCCTCTTCTTAAGTTCCAGATCTATATATCCACTGCCTACTAAAAAGCTCTCACCATTTGGATATCCTGCATGTATCTCAGACTCAAGACATCTAAAAAGTGAACCTATCATCTTTATCCCAACTTAAAAACACTACTAAATTCCTGTCATGGTGCATTCATTATCAGCCACCTCCTTGCCTAAACTAGAAACCTGTGAGTCCTTTTAGATGGTTTTTCCTCCTTTATGGCCCATAATCACTTGCATGTCATTTCAGTTCCTACAGTTTCTCAGCCATCTCTTTCTTTTCACTTCTTTTGTCAGAGTACTTCAGATAGTCCTCTGTTTTAATCTGGATTATCATTTCCCTGGCTCTAACAGTGACTGCTCCCCCTCCCCACCTCTGCCTAGCAAATCTGATTATATCACCCAGGCTCCCCACTATTTGGTGTAAGGAATTAATTTTAACTTGATTTGTCATTAAATCCTTGACTACCTAAGTCCCTGCTCTAGCTTTGTAGATCTAGTACTACTTCCACACTTCTGATAATAATTGCGCCTGGTAACTTACTCATACTACATGCCTTCTACTGTTCATTGCTTGTTTGTATGTATGTATTTTATGGGCCAAATAATGGGACCTTCCCATGGGCTTGGACCATTTACTGCAGAAAGGGTAAGACACTGAGTCTTGTATACATAGTGTGCACTCAATAAATATTTATTGCATTACTTTGATTTATCTTTCACTTTTATATATATTACTTATTAACAATATCAATTTATCTTTTAAAAATCATTTTCTCTGAGTTTTATATTTAACTGCATGAGCATTTTACATTTTTCTAGTAACTTGTGTTATTTGCTAATTTGTGGGGAGGAGGGCCCGTCTCCCGCAACATGGCGAAATAAGTACTGAGACTATCGAGACTAGACTAGATTACTGAGACTATTGAGACTAATTCTATGTGCCTGATCTCCCACCATAGGGTGCTGAGAGGGAGTAAACAAATCTTACACAGCTGCTTCATTAATTAGCTGATTCCTGATCCAACCTCTGATTGGAGGAGAACAGCGTGCTCAGCACAGCATGTGGGCAGCACAGCACGGATTGGTAGGAGAGAACTATAAAGGCGAGATAGAAGGGTCGCGGAGGGGAATTCACTTATGCGCCACGAGGCACTGCAGATATCTCACACCACGCGCTGAAATAATAACAAGAATGTGGACACACACCAAGTGGAATGCGGTTAGAATGCGGTTAGCACAGGAGCGAACTTGAGTGCACAAACAACAGCATCCGGTCCGACGTCTTTCTCCCGCGAGCTCGTGGAGGAGCGACACTAATTAAGATGGCTTAACTTTTTGTTTTCACCTAACAGATCTGTTTTTTCATAGGTGAGGAATTCTTGTAATGTGCATGGTGGTAATAGCTGTTTTAGGAAATACCAGCAAGAATGTGCTAAATACCACCAAATACGCTTACATTTTTCTGTCATTGGAAAGGCTTATAAATTGAAAAGTATCACAGTTCTAATTGGATTTAAAGTGGTGAATTTGATTCTTAGTTTGTGAAATGCAACTTTTTAAGAAAAAGTGCTTTTTGGTTCAGTTTAAAACAATATTTTAGGAAATTAGTTTTTTCCTTGCATTATCAAAATTCCTTTAGGAAGAAAATTTCCATTGAAAAGTTACTTCTGCCTGAATAGTTGATACAGCTTCAGATTCAGAGCAGTATATGTTATTGTGATTTATTATATACTTAATGTAAAAATTATTTGGGAAACATGTTATTTTTTCCAATAATTCAAAATCATGTTTCTTGGGGGATTCTTCAAATATAATGATGATTAGAAAATATATACAGAAGCAGCACACTTAGCAGAAAAGTATACCACATAGCATCAGAAAATAGTGCAAAGTTTGATGTAAGAAATTAAAGTATTTTTATTTATTTATTTAATGACTGCTTTCTATTACTAGTACTCTATAAATGACTTTTGCAGTATTTGTTTTAGTATAGTTTTTCTAATGTTACTTTGAAAGAATAAATTTGAAGTAATAATTTGTTTCAAAACTGGGTGGAATTGTTATAGTTAAGGCTAATAATATTTTTAATTTCTGATTTTGAAAAATTCACATATATATATATATGAATATATATAGTTACATACTTATATCAATATATGAGAGTAGGTATATTTGTGTTATACATAATGAACTCCTGAATGTTTTACTGCAGAGATTAACAGTTCTATCACTTGCCCCATTTCTAGGAAATGTAAATTATGAGATATTTGAGGATTTCTTAGATTAAAAAGAAATCATTTTGTATTGTATTTAATGCTTTGTATGTATTTTTGGTAAATTTCTGATATAGGATTCTTTTTAGGGGGTTATCTAAGGTCTTATAATAACATTTTACTGCTTATTTGTTGATTCACTAACTCTCTGCTCTTATTTTCTTCTGAATTTGTAGAATTTGTATATGTCTTATTACATATTATTGCACAGGGACACACCAACTTAATTATCTTTTTAGTTAGTAAAGAGGATTCATTCATTTCCCAATTAAATAGTTATTAAGTATTGGCCATGTGACAAGCCTTAAGCTCTGGACACCAAGGATAAAACAGTGATGTCTAGCCCCAAAACCTAATTAACTGCATGAGACACATTATAAATATTTGAGTGAAGTACTCTTAGCCTCAGTCTTGGATAACATTTGGTACAAAGTGTATGATTTTGAATTAATTTTAGGAAATTTTAAAGTTCTTAACTTATGTCAGGTTATTAGTGAAATGCTGTTTTTAAGGATATAATGCACTCCTGTTTATTAATTAGTGACACTTTTGCAGATTTGTAAAGCGGTATATTGAATAGCAGCACTGAATGCCAGATAATCTAAAGAGTCTCTTATGTTGAGGTTAGAATGCAATATATGGGTTTTAAAAAATTCTATATCTCTGTGTGTCTTTATTTGAGAGGCAGAGAGACAGAAACAGAGTTGTCCCATTTGCTGGTTCACTCCCCAAATGCTTACAACAGCTGGGGCTGGACCAAGCCAAAGCTGGCAGAGTAGAACACCTTCCAGGTCTCTCATCTGGGACACAGGAACCCAATTACTTTAGCCATCACCTCTGTCTCTCTGGGTCTGTCTGCATTGGCAGGAAGTTAGAGTCAAGAACCAGAGGTGGATATTGAACCCACGTGCCCTATCAATTATGAAATATGGGTGTCTAAACCACTAAGCCAAATGCTCACCTCAGTGGAAAGTTTCAAATCTCATTTACTTTACTGCTTCTGTTCTCTTTTGTTATTTTAAAAATCAATTTATATCCCTTGAACTAATGCTAGCTGGCTTTTAGAGTGAAAAGGATAAATATAGGAGGAAATGACCCAGAGACATATATAACTAAAGCCTCACAGCAAAATTCTACTGAGGGTGAACTCTTAAAGTGAGTAGTAGGGGCTGGTGCTGTGGCGCAGCAGGTTAACGCCCTGGCCTGAAGCCCTAGCATCCCATATGGGTGCCAGTTCGAGACCTGGCTGCTTCACTTCCCATCCAGCTCTCTGCTATGGCCTGGGAAAGCAGTAGAAGATGGCCCAAGCCCTTGGGCTCCTGCACCCGTGTAGGAGACCCAGATTCGGAAGTTCCTGGCTCCTGGCTTCGGATCGGTGCAACTCTGTCCGTTGCGATCAGTTGGGGAGTGAACCATCGGATGGAAGACACCCCCCCCTGCCTCTCCTCTCTCTGTGTAACTCTGAGTTTCAAATAAAATAAATAAATCTTTAAAAAAATGAGTATTAAATGGGAGGCTTGTCACTCAAACAAATTGAATTGAAAAAAACAGGTTGAATTTTTCTAAACCTTCTTTCTTTATTTCATTTTTTTTTTTTTTTTGACAGGCAGAGTGGACAGTGAGAGAGAGAGACAGAGAGAGAAAGGTCTTCCTTTGCCGTTGGTTCACCCTCCAATGGCCGCCGCTGCAGCCGGCGCACCGCGCTGATCCTGGCAGGAGCCAGGAGCCAGGTGCTTTTCCTGGTCTCCCATGGGGTGCAGGGCCCAAGCACCTGGGCCATCCTCCACTGCACTCCCTGGCCATAGCAGAGAGCTGGCCTGGAAGAGGGGCAACCGGGACAGAATCCGGCGCCCCAACCGGGACTAGAACCCGGTGTGCCGGCGCCGCAAGGTGGAGGATTAGCCTATTGAGCCACGGCGCCGGCCCTTATTTCATTATTTTTTAAAAAAATTATTTTTATTTTATTTCATTAGATTTTAATCTGCCATTGTCAGCTGATATAATCCTGACCAAAGAAAAGAATTCAAGTTCACATAAATCTACTCAGGAAAAATTATATCTAGAAGGAAGTGCTCCATCTGGTCAGGTTTCTGCAAAAGTAAACATCATCTGAAAGAGCAGACGGCAGCGTAAAGTTACCCATCGCTATTCTGTAAGAGATGTAAGAAAGACACAACTGTCCACCTCAGACTCAGAAGCCAATTCAGATGAAAAAAGTATAGCAATGAATAAGCATAGAAGGCCCCATCTGCTACAACATTTTGTAATACAGCCTCCTAAAGATGACCACCTTGCAAGTAAATTTGACCACTTAGCAACCAAAGAAGAACAGACTGCTGATTCTATGGCTTTGGAAAACTCTACAGAGATTATTACAAGACAAGAGTCAAATACTGACATTTTAAGTGACCCAGCTGCCTTGTCTATTATCAATAACATGAACAACTCTCCGTTTGACTTATGTCATGTTTTGTTATCTTTATTGGAAAAAGTGTGTGAGTTTGACATGACTTTGAATCGTGATTCTGCTCTAGCAGCCAATGTAGTGCCCACACTGACTGAATTCCTAACAGGCTCTGGGGACTGCTGTAATCTAAATGACAATTTGGAAAGTCAAGTGGTTTCTACAGGTTGGACTGAAGAACCGGTAGCTTTGATTCAGCGGATGCTCTTTAGAACGGTGCTGCATCTTATGTCAGTAGATATTAGTACTGCAGAGATGATGCCAGAAAGTCTTAGAAAAAATTTAACTGAGTTGCTTAGGGCAGCTTTAAAGATTAAAACTTGCCTAGAAAAGCAACCTGACCCTTTTCTGCCAAGACAGAAGAAAACACTACAGGAGATTCAAGAAGCGTTTGTATTTTCAAAGTATCGTCATAGAGCCCTTCTTTTACCTGAGCTTCTAGAAGGAGTTCTTCAGATCCTGATCTGTTGTCTTCAAAGTGCAGCTTCAAATCCCTTCTACTTCAGTCAAGCCATGGATTTGGTTCAAGAATTCATTCAGCATCATGGGCTTAATTTATTTGAAACCGCAGTTCTTCAAATGGAATGGCTGCTTTTAAGAGATGGAGTGCCTCCTGAAGCCTCAGAACATTTGAAAGCCCTAATAAATAGTGTGATGAAAATAATGAGCACTGTCAAAAAAGTGAAATCGGAGCAACTTCATCATTCAATGTGTACAAGAAAAAGGCACAGACGCTGCGAATATTCTCACTTCATGCATCACCACCGAGATCTCTCAGGTCTTCTGGTTTCAGCTTTTAAAAATCAGGTTTCCAAAAACCCGTTTGAAGAGACTGCAGATGGAGATGTTTATTATCCTGAGCGGTGCTGTTGTATTGCAGTGTGTGCTCACCAGTGCTTACGCTTACTGCAACAGGCTTCCTTGAGCAGTACTTGTGTCCAGATTCTATCAGGCATTCATAGTGTTGGAATATGCTGTTGTATGGATCCCAAATCTGTAATCCTTCCTTTGCTCCATGCTTTTAAATTGCCAGCACTGAAAAACTTTCAGCAGCATATATTGAATATCCTTAACAAACTTATTTTGGATCAATTAGGAGGAGCAGAAATAGCACAAAAAATTAAAAAGGCAACTTGCAATATTTGTACTGTTGACTCTGATCAACTAGCCAAATTAGAAGAGGCGTTGCAGGGAAACTCTTGTGATGCTATGCCTTCCTCAAGTTTACCCAGTCCTTCTTACAGGTTTCAAGGGATTCTGCCCAGCAATGGATCTGAAGACTTACTGTGGAAATGGGATGCTTTAGAAGCTTATCAGAACTTTGTTTTTGAGGAAGACAGATTACATAGTATACAGATCGCGAATCACATTTGCAATTTAATCCAAAAAGGCAATATAGTTGTTCAGTGGAAATTGTATAATTACATATTTAATCCTGTACTCCAAAGAGGAGTTGAATTAGCACATCATTGTCAACGTCTAAGCGTTACTTCAGCTCGAACTCACACATGTAGCCATCGTAACCAGTGTTTGCCTCAGGAAGTACTTCAGATTTATTTGAAAACTTTGCCTATCCTGCTGAAATCCAGGTTTGTTTGTGTACTTGTGTGTATATGTAGATATTTTTGAACTTGTGGATTTGTGAATACTTTTGAATTTGTGATAAAACACATACATTTGAACCTCTAACTCTGATATTCCCAGGGCTTCCTAAGTAGTACCCAGCTCATCTCCTGTGATTTAATTTTAGATACCAACAAAAAATCTCCCACCCCATGTCTGGAATATCCAGTTATAAAGGAGAGAAGAAAGCCATTGATTTTAATTTCTCAGTGTCGCTCCCCCTCTTCATGGAGGAACGACACAGGACCCTGCGCTGTTCTTTCGTCTGCTCGGCCCTCCCCGGGTTTGCTGCTGGTTCTTCCCGGGTTGGCTACTATCCCTTCCACCTCCGTGGAAGGGCAGTTCCCCCTGGCCACATTCCCCACTTCCGCAGGGGAGCGGCACACCGCCGGCCGGCTCTTCTCGGGGGCTGCACAGGTGTTCCCCTTAGATGTTCCCCTTAGATGTTCCTGGTGAATGCCGTCTCTCTCCTCCTTTATAGTCCTCCTCCGCCAATCCCAACTCAGCTGCCCACACGCCGAGTACGCTGCTCTCCTCCAATCAGTAGCAAGTCCTACAGTTTATTGGTTGAACTGGAGGCAGCTGTGTGGAAGCTGTTTACTTCTCTCCCAGCGCCATATTGTGGGAGAGCAGATGCATAGAATAAGTCTTAATTCCAGTAACTCAGTCTAGTCCGGTTTGCTCCCCACACTCAGTAGGTGAGGGAGTAGTTTAAGATACATTTCTGAGAAAAAATATGGATACAACACAGATATCTAAGAGCAAGATCAAGGTTAAGTTAATTATTTGCTATTTACTTGAAAGTCTTATTAGCAATTAAAAATGTTTACAAGAATCATGTAGGAACATGACAAAATGCTTATAATATTTTATATATAAAATTTACTAAAGTTAAAATGGAATTTATTTGTCACTGTGTAAAAGATGTACATACAATGACACTTATTGAGGCAGTAACATTAAGGCGATTTTTTTAAGTGTCATGTTTGTTATCTAAACAATATAAATAGAAAGATTAGAAAATATTCATAAGCAAAGAAAAGAAAAATAAAATTACTTGCAATTCTGTTAATGAGTTTTTCACATTTTATGATGATGAAGTCTGGTACATTTAAAATATATTTTAAAATAAAACTTCTGATAGGTAGATTGTCCTTTGAAATCAACACATATTATTTAAAAACTTAACATATAACTTACCCTTATTATCTGCATATATGACATTTTTATTCATGTTAAGACAGCAACTTTAAAATAAATACTGATATTTAAACCATAGGCTTCCAATTATTGTAAAAAAATTTGACATTCTGTTGGAGTTTAAATAAAACTGACTTGATTTAAAAGTTTTATAACTCATTGACACATATGTGGACAACTTCAATCTTTGCAACATAAACAAAGAGAAACATTGAGCTGATTTATATTAAAGTTGCTATTGGGATTCCAATGAACTTAAACATGTGAGACACCTGACACAGAGCATAAACCTTTTAAAAATATTGTATCCTTGACTATCAACTAGCCAAATTATAATGGATGTTGCAGGAAAACTCATGTGATTTTGGGCCTGTATGTGACTGAAAATTTTCTGAAGATTTTCTGCTCTGAAGTTTGGTTCTTTCCCATTATGAGGTACAGATTTAAAACAAACAAAAGTCCTGAATTAGCCAACAGGCAGATGAATAAATATCTCTCTGCTCCCAGGGTATTGACCTTGAGTGTGGTGGGTTGTGGCATTTAGAATTTATAATTTGCCATTTGGAGAAAAATATTCTTCCCAAATTGCTTCATTTGATTTGGCATGCCTGTAATTCTTTCTTTTTAAATACTGCTGGAATCATGCATTCAGGGTTTGAAGAAGGATGTAAGAGTAATTAGTAAGAAACTTGGCATTCTGGTCATTGTCTAAGAACTTTAGCTGGATGATAGATGAATCAAATTGGACAGTAGTTAGTAAATACCACGTGTAGCAGTGATATATTTGAACAGTATGGGTACCTATTTAGAAATGATATTTCTGTTTGTAAAATCTTTGTGTTTTTTTTCTCTCATAGGGTTATACAAGATTTGTTTTTAAGTTGCAATGGAGTAAATCAAGTAATTGAATTAAATTATTTAGATGCTACTTGAAGTCATTCACTAAAAGCATTTGAAACTTTGATAATCTGCTTAGGGGAGCAACAGAAAGATGCTTCAGTTCCGAGTACTGAACAGAAGGAGTTGTCATCCTTACATGTAGGTACTTCTTTTCATAACCAGCAAGCTTATTCAGACTCTCCTCAGAGTCTCAATAAATTTTCAAAGAAGCCTATCCAAAGACATGGAAGACTGTTAACCAAGATATTCATATAAACACTATAAACCTCCTCTGTGTGGCATTTTTATGTGTGAGTAAAGAAGCAGAGTCTGATAGGGAGTCAGCCAATGATTCAGAAGATACTTCTGGCTATGACAGCACAGCCAGCGAGGCTTTAAGTCATATACTGCCATGTTTATCTCTTGAGAGCCTTGTCTTGCCCTCTCCTGAACATATGCACCAAGCAGCAGACATTTGGTCAATGTGCCGTTGGATCTACATGTTGAGTCCTGTCTTCCAGAAACAATTTTATAGACTTGGTGGTTTCCAAAAATGCCAAAAATTAATGTTTATGATAATACAGAAACTATTTGGAAGTGCTGAAGAGGAACAAGAAAGAAGACAAGGAGATATAACTGTAAATGAAAGGCAAGATTTAAATAGAGCTTATCAGCCTGAGATAACATCGAAGGAAGATTTATTATCTTTGACTGTAAAAAGTGACCTTACACCATCAGAACTGGGTACTTCAAAAGAGAGTTCTGGGGGGCAGAGCCAAGATGGCGGAATAGTGAGGGCACGCACCGATAGTCCAGGAAAATTTAGTTTAATAAAAGTGGAGTTATGGTAGCCTCAGAAAAAGGATCAGGAAAAAATTGCAGAGGAAACTCTTCCGGATCTAGTGGCTGTGACTCAGAGGACCTATGGGGAGAGCAAGGTCGCCCACTGCGCGGAAGCCGAGCTGCGGGAGCCACAGGGTCTGCGCGCCAGTGTGGGAAGGGGAGTGGATGTGACACAGACAACCAGTGGGGAGAGCAGGGATGCCCAGGGCTCTGAGTCCAAACATCGGTGCTGAAAGGGGAGGTGAGCTCAGTAACCCGAGACATTGGTGGGGAAACAGCGGTCAGAATCTAGAGGGAAGTGGGCTTGAGGCGGGAAAGTTCACTGTCGCTCCCCCTCTTCGTGGAGGAATGACACAGGACCCTGCACTGTTCTTTTGTCTGCTCGGCCCTTCCCGGGTTTGCTGCTGGTTCTTCCCGGGTTGGCTGCCGACCCTTCCACCTCCGTGGAAGGGCGGTTCCCCCTGTCACTTTCCCCACTTCCGTGGGGGAGCGGCACACCGCCGGCCAGCTCTCTCGGGGGTTGCTCAGGTGTTCCTTCAGATAGATGTTCCTGGTGCATGTTGTCTCTCTCCTCCTTTATAGTCCTCTTCCACCAATCCCAACTCTGCTACCCATATGCCGAGTACGCTGCTCTCCTCCAATCAGGAATAGGTCCTACAGTTTATTAGTTGAACTGGAGGCAGCTGTGTAGAAGCTGTTTCCTCCTCTCCCAGCGCCATATTGTGGGAGAGCAGATGCATAGAATAAGTCTTAATTCGAGTAACAGTCTAGTCTGAGTTGCTCCCCACAGTTCACCAGACTGACTACAGGAGAAAAGAAAAAAAAAAAGGTGGGGCGGGGGTGTACTGGTACAGAGGAGTTTCTCTCTCCGCCAACCTTGCAAACGTGAGCAAGAGACAAAGAGCAGGCCCCACTCTGAATATACATAACAAAAGGGGAGAGCTAAGGAACTGAGGCGCTACAATTCAGTAGCCTAGGCAACCCAGTGGGAGTCTACAGTAGAAACTGAGCCCGCACAGACTCTTTGGGTAGAAGCCAGAGATCGGAAGCTAAATACCATCAATTCTGCTCAGCCGTGTGGTATTACTTACCTCCTGAATAAACAAATAAATAAATAGAGAGAGATTTACCACGCATAACCTGAGGGTGTCACCTTTGCACGCCCGTAACCTGGAAGAACCAGAGCTCTCAGGCCACACCCATCTCAAGCCTCCAAGGCTCCTCCAACAGCAGACAGTCCACTTAACACAGACATAGTATATATATATATCTATCTATAAAACTCACAGTGAGGGAAGAAGAATTAACAATGCCCAGCAACAAACACAAAAATCGAGGGAACAAGATCAACGATGACACTATGACGCCTCCAAATAAACAAAACACCCCAAGCCAAGATTATGAAGATGATGAGATAGAAGAAATGCAAGATACAGATTTCAAAAAATTTATGATAAGAACATTTAGAAGTTTTCAAAATCAAATCCTTGAACTACAGAAATCCTTATTGGACAGGATTGAAAATCTCTTTTGTGAAAATAAAATTTTAAGGAAGAATCAAAATGAAACGCAGAAACTAGTAGAATAGGAAAGTGTGATAGTGAAGAGAAGTCAAAATGAAATGAAGAGCTCAATAGATCAAATGACAAACACATTAGAAAGTCTAAAAAACAGAGTCAGTGAAACAGAAGAGAGAATATTGGACTTAGAAGACAGAGCACAGGAAAACATACAGTCAAACCAAAGAAAAGAAGAAGAAATTAGAAATCTAAAAAAATATTGCTGGGAATCTACAGGATACTATTAAAAAACCCAACATTCGAGTTCTAGGAGTTCCTGAAGGCATGGAGAGAGAGAAAGGATTAGAAGGCCTTTTTAGTGAGATACTAGCAGAGAACTTTCTGGGTTTGGAGAAAGACAGAGACATCCTAGTACAGGAAGCTCATAGAACCCCCAGTAAACATGACCAAAAGAGATCCTCACCACGACACGTTGTAATTAAACTCACAGTGAAACATAAAGAAAAGATCCTAAAATGTGCAAAAGAGAAACGTCAGATTACTCTCAGAGGATCTCCAATCAGACTCACAGCAGACTTCTCATCAGAAACACTACAGGCTAGGAGGGAATGGCGAGACATAGCACAGGTGCTAAGAGAGAAAAATTACCAGCCCAGAATATTATATCCTGCTAAGCTCTCATTTGTGAATGAAGGTGAAATAAAGACCTTTCATAGCAAACAGAAATTGAAAGACTTTGCCGCCACTCGTCCAGCCCTGCAAAAGATACTTAAAGATGTGCTACGCTCAGAAACACAGAAACACGGCCATCAATATGAAAGAAGGTAAAGGAAGAACACCTACCAGTAAAAGGGCATGGGAAGCTCAAAGCATATACTAGAAAATATCTCCAGGAAAATGGCAGGGCAAAGTCACTATGTATCAATAGTCACATTAAACGTTAATGGACTTTAACTCTTCAGTTAAAAGACACCGATTGGCTGACTGTCTTAAGGAACAAAACCCAACTATTTGTTGCCTACAAGAAACACATCTCTCTAATAAAGATGCATGCAGACTGAAAGTGAAAGGTTGGAAAAAGATATTCCATGCCAACAGAAACCAAAAAAAAAAATCAGGTGTAGCCATATTAATATCAGACAAGATAAACTTTAATACAAAAACTGTTAAGAGAGACAAAGAAGGGCACTATATTATATATATATTAAGGGTTCAATTCAACAGGAAGATGTAACTATTATAAATGTATATGCACCTAATTACAGGGCACCGGTCTATTTAAAAGATATGTTAAGGGACTTAAAGGGAGACTTAGATTCCAATACAATAGTACTGGGGGACTTCAATACTCCACTCTCAGAAATAGATAGATCATCCAGACAGAAGATCAACAAGGAAACAGCAGATTTAATTGACACTATTGCCCAAATGGATCTAACAGATATCTACAGAACTTTCAATCCTACATCTAAAGACTTTACATTCTTCTCAGCAGTGCATGGAACCTTCTCTAGGACTGATCACATACTAGGCCATAAAGCAAGTCTCAGCAAATTTAAAAGAATTAGAATCATACCATGCAGTTTCTCAGACCATAGAGAAATGAAGTTGGAAATTAGCAACTCAGGAATCCCTAGAGCATATGCAAACTCATGGAGATTGAACAACATGCTCCTGAATGAACAATGGGTCATAGAAGAAATCAAAAGAGAAATCAAAAATTTTCTGGAAGTTAATGAGGATAACAGCACAACATACCAAAACTTATGGGATACGATAAAAGCAGTGTTGAGAGGAAAGTTTATAGCAATAGGTGCCTATATCAAGAAATTGGAAAGGCAGTCAACGCCAAAATCAACTATTGGGACTGCATCAAATTGAGAAGTTTCTGTACTGCAAAAGAAACAGGAGAGTGAAGAGGCAACTGACAGAATGGGAAAAAATATTTGCAAACTATGCAACAGACAAAGGGTTAATAACCACAATCTACAAAGAGATCAAGAAACTCCAGAAAAACCAAACAACCCACTTAAGAGATGGGCTGAGGACCTCAATAGACATTTTTCAAAAGAGAAAATCCAAATGGCCAACAGGCACATGAAAAAATGTTCAAGATCACTAGCAATCAGGGAAATGCAAATCAAAACCACAATGAGGTTTCACCTCACCCCAGTTAGAATGGCTCACATTCAGAAATCTACCAACAACAGATGCTGGCGAGGATGTGGGGAAAAGGGACATTAACCCACTGTTGGTGGGAATGCAAACTGGTCAAGCCACTATGGAAGTCAGACTGGAGATTCCTCAGAAACCTGAAGATAACACTACCATTTAACCCAGGCATACCACTCCTTGGAATTTACCCAAAGGAAATTAAATTGGCAAACAAACAAGCTGTCTGCACATTAATGTTTATTGCAGCTCAATTCACAATAGCTAAGACCTGGAACCAACCTAAATGCCCATCAACGGTAGACTGGATAAAGAAATTATGGGGGCCGGTGCCGCAGCTCACTAGACTAATCCTCCAACTTGCGGCGCCGGCACACCAGGTTCTAGTCCCAGTCGGGGCGCCGGATTCTGTCCCGGTTGCCCCTCTTCCAGGACAGCTCTCTGCTGTCGCCAGGGAGTGCAGTGGAGGATGGCCCAAGTGCTTGGGCCCTCCACCCCATGGGAGACCAGGATAAGTACCTGGCTCCTGCCATCAGATCAGCGCGGTGCGCCGGCCGCAGATCACCAGCCGCGGCAGCCATTGGAGGGTGAACCAACGGCAAAGGAAGACCTTTCTCTTTGTCTCTCTCTCTCACTGTCCACTCTGCCTGTAAAAAAAAAAAAAAGAAATTATGGGATATGTACTCTTTAGAATACTATACTGCAGTAAAAAAAAATGAAATCCAGTCATTTGCAACAAAATGGAGGAATCTGGAACACATCATGCTGAGTGAAATAAGCCAGTCCCAAAGGGACAAATATCATATGTTCTCCCTGATCGGTGACAACTGACTGAACACCAAAAAGGAAACCTGTTGAAGTGAAATGGACACTATGAGAAACGGTGACTTGATCAGCATAGCCCTGACTGTTAATGAACAACTTAATACATTATCCCTCTTAGTAGTTTTTTTTTGTCTGTTCTACTTAATACTACTGGTTTAATTCTGTAATTAATACACAGTTATTCTTAAGTGTTGAAATTTAACTGAAATGTGATCCCTGTTAAATATAAGAGTGGGAATAAGAGAGGGAGGAGATGTACAATTTGGGACATGCTCAGGCTGACTTGCCCCAAATGGTAGAGTTAGAAACATACCAGGGGATTCCAATTCAATCCCATCAAGGTGGTATGTACCAATGCCATCTCACTATTCCAAGTGATCAATTTCTGTTCACAATTGATCATAATGAAAGGACTAAGAGTCAAAGGGATCACATAAACAAGTCTAGTGCCTGCTAATACTAACAGAATAAATAAATGGGAAAGTGATCCAACATGGGAAGCGAGATACTCAGCAGACTCAGAATGGCAGATGTCCTAAACAGAACTCTGGCCTCAGAATCAGCCCTAAAAGCATTCGGATCCAGCTGAAAAGCCCATGAGAGTATTTCAGGCATGGAAAGCCAAGACACTCTGGCAAATGAAGGAAGATCTCTGTGAGTGAGATCCAAGTGGAAAGAACAGGTCTTCAAAGAAGGAGGTACCTTTCTCTGAAGGGAAGAGAGAACTTCCACTTTGACTATGACCTTGTCTAAATAAGATAAGAGTCGGTGAACTCAAAAGGCTTCCACAGCCTTGGAAACTCATGACTGGAGCATAGGGAGATTACTGATGCATAAACAGGAGTGTCAATTTGTAAAGGCAACAACAGGAGTCACTGTGCACTTACTCCTCATGTAGGATCTCTGTCCTTAATGTGCTGTACATTGAGATTTAATGCTATAACGAGTACTCAAACAGTATTTTTCACTTTGTGTGTCTATGTGGGTGCAAACTGTTGAAATCTTTACTTAATGCATACTAAACTGATCTTCTGTATATATAGAAAATTGAAAATGAATCTTGATATGAATGGAAGGGGAGAGAGAGTGGGAAAGGGGAGGGTTGCGGGTGGGAGGGAAGTCATTGGGGGGGGGAGAAGCCAATGTAATCCATAAGCTGTACTTTGGAAATCTATATTCATTAAATAAAAGTTTAAATGACAGTTTAGATAAATTAGAGTCACAGCATATTTCTTCCAAAAATTTGGAACGAATTTCACCTGCTGAAGCTACTGAAGAAGTAAAGGTATTTATAAGTCAAGAAAGAGAGACCTTACTTCAGAGCATAAGACTCTTAGAAGCCATTTTAGCCATTTGTCTTCATGGTGCCAGAAGTAGTCAACAGAAGATGGAATTGGAGTTACCTAATCAGGTAATATTTTGTCCTTATCTGGATCTTGCATAAATTACATCTTTTTTAAAATTCTAACAATACTGTTGTCATTTTATCTTTTCAATGATTTTACATTTTGAGAAGCTCTGTATGCTTAGGATAGTACTAAGTACTGTGGAGGACGCAAAGAGAGCACATGATCCCATTTTTACCCTAAAGAAGCTTACTGTTCAGTTGGGAATGTCGAAGCCCCATGTGGAAAAGTTTATGCATTAAGTGTCAGATCAGTAAAATGGATGTTGTGTTTCAAAGTTCACAGTCTTGGAATGGTGCCTATTTGGGTGCCCTGGTCCCATTACCTTGGTTTGTAGCTCAAGTGTGTATAGTTCTCATCATATCTTGTCTGTATGTATGTTCCTCACGTTGCACTGAGAATTTAACCAGGCTGATGTCCTCATATGGCATCATCTACTGCATCTGCATCTATCTTCTGAGGATTGCCCATGGCTAATGGGATGCCTCACCTAGAGTTACCTAGAGGAAGTGTGCTCATAGCCAGTGGTTGTTGGATGTGGATCTGGGGAATGAGGACAGTCCCTGTGTACAGTTCAGGCTCCAGAGCTCCCCGTGTAATGAGTCTGGGACTGGGCCTTACCTGAAAACTATTTCTGGATTTCTGGATTCTTTCCATGATTTGTGTTTCCCTTGCACCCATCCAGATTTCTCCTGAGACGACTTCTCACCAAGAAAGAAATCCTGAGTATTAGGTCCTGCTTCTAAGGAACCTTGGAATGTGGACTCCTTTTTTTCCTTATTAACTCAACCCTAACTCTTCTGTCAGATAACAGGCTCTCCCTCTTGCAGTACCAGCCTCTGTGTAGCCTCCTAACCAGTCTTGATGTTTGAGGCAGCATTATGGCGCAACGAGTTAAGCAGGCGCCTGCAACACTGGCATCCTTTGTGGGTGTCAGTTTGAGTCCTGGCTGCTCCACTTCCAATCCAGCTCTTTGATAACATGCCTGGGAAAGCAGCAGAAGATGACCCAAGTGCTTGGGCTCCTGCATCCATATGGGAGACCTGGATGAAGCTCTTAGCTCCTGGCTTTGGCCTGGCCCAGCCCTGGCTGTTAGTGGAGAATAAAGCAGTGGATAGAAGATATCTCTCTGTCTCTCCTCCTCCTCTCTCTGTAACACTGTTTTTCAAATAAATGAATAAATCTTTCTTCTAATCTTGATACTTTCATATTGCTCACAATTAAAATTCACACTATTTAGCATAGCATACAAAATTCTTCACACTCTTGCTTTACTGCCTTTTTTAATGAAATATTTATTTTATTTATTTGAAAAACAAGGTTTCAGAGAGAGGCAGAGACTGAGAGAGAGAGAGAGAGCTTCCATCTGCTAGTTCACTCCCCAAATGGCCACAATGGCTGGGCCTGGGCTGATCCAAAGGCAGGAGCCAGGAGCTTCTTCTAGGTCTCCCACATGGGTGCAGGAGCCTAAGGACTTGGACCATCTTTTGCTGCTTTCCCATACCATAGCAAGGAGCTGGATTAGAAGTGGAGCAGGGGCCGGCACTGTGACATAGCAGGTAAAGCCTCCGCGTGATGCCAGTTTGAGTTCTGGCTACTCCACATCCAGTCCAACTCTCTGCTATAGCCTGGGTAAGAAGTGGAAGATGGCCCAAGTCTTTGGGCCCCTTCACCCATGTGGGAGGCCCAGAAGAAGCTCCTGGCTCCTGGCTTCAGATCGGCACAGCTCCAGCTGTTGTAGCCAATTGGGGAGTGGACCAGTGGATGGAAGACTCTCTCTCTCTTTCTCTCTCTCTCTCTGTGTGTGTGTGTGTGTGTGTGTAACTCCGCCTTTCAAATAAATAAATAAATCTAAAAAAAAGTGGAGCAGCTGGGATTCGAACTGATGCCCGTATGGGATGCCAGCACTGCAGGTGGTGGCTTTACCCGCTATGCCACAGCACCGGCCCCTTTACTTCTTTCTTCAACCTCATTATGCTGCCATTCCTTACTTTGCTACAATCAACTATACTGAGTGCCATTCTTTGCTATTATTTCTGTGCTTTGGTACATGTTCTAGCTTGTACGGTCTTTCCCTTGTTTCTACATCTGCTCTCTCCTTCTTGTTCTTTGCTGTCCATCAAATGCAGCTCCTCCCCTAGGACACTTTTGACAGATCTCTTGTTCTTTCTTTTCTTTCCTCAAAGTACTTTGTTTATAGCTATGGTACATGGTTGTCATCATATCTGGTTTGTACATATCTGTTTCTTGTTGTCTTCCAAAGAGAGAAGCCAGTTTTTTAGCCATCTTTATGATTTCATCACCTGGTTTAGGAAAGTAGCAAGAACTTCCTTAAACACAGAAGGGAAGGAGTGAAAAACAGAGAGAGAGAAAAAAATTAGGAAAGAACCATTTGTTAGTGTCTTGGAAATCTCTAGGGGCCTGTGCTGTGGCTAGTGGGTTAAGCTGCTCTCTGCAGCACTGGCTTCCCATATGGGCAGCAGTTCGAGGCCCAGGTGCTCCACTTCCCATCCAGCTCCCTGCTTTTGTGCCTGGGGAAGCTGCAGAGGATGGCCCAAGGCCTTGGGCCCCTGAACCCCTATGGGGGACCAGGAAGAAGCTCCTGGCTCCTGGCTTACTTCTGGACCTATCTTGGCCATTGTGGCCATTTGGGGAGTAAACCAGTGGATGGGAGACCTCACTCTCTGTCTCTCCTTCTCTCTCTCTAATTCTACCTTTCAAATAAATAAATCTTTTTTTTTTAAAGAAAAGAAATATCTAACCATAAGGAATTTGTAAACTTCAGAGATGGTTAATCAAAATGCTGATGTTTCAAGGAATTTTTTCATAATTAAATTAGGATGCACAGAAATTTAAAACCAAATGAATAATGTATTTGATAAACAAAAATGTTATTAATTTAACAGTAGGATGTTGTATAAAAGCCAAGTATTTATGCAGTCATTTAAATTTCATATTAACTGCAAATAAATGGGCTAGTTTTCTACTTGCTAAATAATTGTCAATTTATCACTTACTTGTTACTTTTTTAAAAGCTTATTATTAATATTCTTAAGTGTCTTTTATTTTACCTTAGAACTTGTCTGTGGAAAATACATTATTGGAAATAAGGGACCATTTTTCCCACTCAAAGGTGATTGAAACAAGAATTAGCAAAGCCTTTGTTTGATGCTCTGCTTCGAGTTGCCCTGGGGAATCATTCAGCAGATTTTGAAAATAGTGATACTGTCACTGAGAAGGTATGAAGAACATGCAATTGTGTTATTTAGTATGACTAACATGGGAAAAAATGTGTGGGATGGAACTAGGACACTGATGGTTAGAAAATATGGACCAGGATTTGATTAGGTGAATTCTGTGAGTCATATCTCCATCTTACGGGACTGATATTTCATCAGTGCCCTAATCTCATAAAAAACACGAGAACAATATGCCTTTCTTCATCTGATCTGGAAATTTACTGATAATTACTCCCAGTGAGACGAAATTTATTTTTTAATTTGATAAGTCTTAGACAGAAGGTGTCTTCAAAAAGTTCATGGAAAGTGTATGTTATGGGAAAACTGCATGATTTCAAAATGTTTTTGCACCAAAGTAAACTCATACTAACTTGTTAATGTATCTGAACAGGATCTAGTTTGAGGCACTAGGAATGATAAGACATCAGTTTGAAAAAGAGCCACTATCAGAGCAGCATGAATTCTGCTAAAATTGAAACAAGAATAAATATCAAATTTATGGTGATGCTTGGATAAAAGCATGGTGATATTTTTGATGTATTACAAAAAGTTAGCAGAGACAAGGCCTCAAAGAAATGTGTAGTTTACAAACTGATAACCAATTTTAAAAAGGGTATGACTATGTTGAAGATGAAGCCCAGTAAGTTTGCAAATTAAAAAAAAGATAAACTGTCACGCCTTAATGGAAGATGATGAGCAATTAACAGTAAAACAAGAGCTAAGAGTGCATATATATTCCTATTGGTTCAGCTTACATAATTAAATTAAAGTTGAGCAAACTTTCTGCTCACTGGGTGCTCACTGTACTCAAACCAGCTCCAGAGAAGAGCAGAGTCTTCATTGGGAATTTTAAACAAATGAGATCAAGATTCTGAAGCATATCTTGGAAGAACTGTAACAGGAGATGAAGCATGGTTTCACCAATTCATTCTTTTTTTTTTTTTTTTTTATTTTTATTTTTATTTTTATTTTTGACAGGCAGAGTGGACAGTGAGAGAGAGAGACAGAGAGAGAAAGGTCTTCCTTTGCCGTTGGTTCACCCTCCAATGGCCGCCGCTGCAGCCGGCGCACCGCGCTGATCCGATGGCAGGAGCCAGGATCCAGGTGCTTTTCCTGGTCTCCCATGGGGTGCAGGGCCCAAGCACCTGGGCCATCCTCCACTGCACTCCTTGGCCATAGCAGAGAGCTGGCCTGGAAGAGGGGCAACCGGGACAGAATCTGGCGCCCCAACCGGGACTAGAACCCGGTGTGCCGGCGCCGCAAGGTGGAGGATTAGCCTATTGAGCCACGGCGCCGGCCCACCAATTCATTCTTGAAGCCAAAGCAATGGCTGCCAAGAGGTGAAAGTGATCTTGTCAAATCAGCAGTGGATCAGCCAAGAGCAAAATCATGTACTAGTGTTTTTGGATGCTCAGAACATTTTTGCTTGTTGACTTTCTGCATGACCAAAGAATAATCATATCTGCATATTAGGATGTGTTTTGAGAAAGCCTAAACTTTAGCAGAAAACTTCACTAGAGAGTACTTTCTCCACCGTGGCAATGCCTCTGCTCATTCCTCTCATCAAATGAGGGCATTTTTATGACAGTTTTGATGCAAAATCATAAGGTATCCTCATTTGGCTCCTTTGGACTTCTTTTTGTTTCCTAATCCTGAAAAAAATAATAAATTAAAGGTGCTCATTTTTCTTCAATTAATAATAGAAAAAGGACCACATTGACAAAGTTCAGTTCCTAGGAATTTCAACATTTTAGGAATGGACTAAGTAGTTTCTTGAATTTGATGGGGCTCATATTGAGAAATAAGTTGACACTTTTTATCTTTTAATTCCATTTTCCATTAATATTTTGAGGTATCCTCATGTAACTGATAAATTTGAGCTGATAATGATTTGGTTTATGTTCTTTCTTGAACTCTGAAATCAATTTTAAATTACACATCATAAAAAGGACTAGTATTTGCGTAGAAAAGTAGCAGTCAATGTTTTTTTGGTGCTTAACATTTTTTCTAAAGAATTTAATTTTTTCCCTGAAACTTTGTGATGTATACTCAGTTCATTTCCCTCTCCTTTCATATTTCTTTTACATTTAATTAACAATCACCTGGCCTTTTTATAAATTACCACTTAACTCCTTGGCCTAGCAATATATATATGAAGTTATTTATGTTTTGCCATAATAGTTTATGTTACTCTATCTCATAATTTTAAAACTTATTTAATAGCTATTAATGCCTTCATCTTATTACTGAATCAATCAGTTATCCTATAAAATGTTTAATGGCCTTCTTTACCTCTTATTGCTATTGCAATGATAAAGTACTCTGAGTTTAAGGGAAAATATTTTCTGAAGTGAGGGTATTAGTAGCATTTTTGTAAGAAAAATGTTTTTTTTTGTCACAGACATTACAAAGGAAGTTAATCCTGGAACTGTTGATCTCTGAGATATTATATGTAAATAATTGCATTCTGAAATCTTTAATACCTTTGAAAAATTGTCATATCTCCTTGCGTATCCAATTCATGAAACATTTCATTTATAAAAATCTATGACTGGCCGGCGCCGTGGCTCAACAGGCTAATCCTCTGCCTTGCGGCGCTCACACACTGGGTTCTAGTCCTGGTCGGGGCGCCGGATTCTGTCCCGGTTGCCCCTCTTCCAGGCCAGCTCCCTGCTATGGCCAGGGAGTGCAGTGGAGGATGGCCCAAGTACTTGGGCCCTGCACCCACATGGGAGACCAGGAAAAGCACCTGGCTCCTGCCTTCAGATCAGCGCAGTGCGCCGGCCACAGCGCGCTGGCCATGGTGGCCATTGGAGGGTGAACCAACGGCAAAAGGAAGACCTTTCTCTCTGTCTCTCTCTCTCACTGTCCACTCTGCCTGTCAAAAAAAAAAAAAAAAAAGTGCATCTCCAAGTGCCTGTAACAGGTACTCACGCAAGGCTGGTGTCTATTCTCTTCTGCCAACTGTCTTCTCCTTTACAACTAAAATCAACAGTATACTGGGAAAAATTTTATCTGCATTCTTAAGGCTTTAAAAAAATCAAAAGAAATGGGAGGCAAGGAACTATATAAATGAGGAGACAAGAGAGAAGTGGAGGAGGGGAGAAAGGCATGTGGGAAAGAATGGAAGGGGAGGTGGCAGGGAGACGCATGGTGAACTTGATGGGTTTGTTATTTCCAAAAGCATGTTCATTCCAGTAAAATAACGGATGAGGAAAACATTTTCATTTTCTTTTCTGACAGCTGGAGCATAAACAGTTGCTGCAATATCAGAAATTATTGGACATTTTGAGCATTCTTGCTAGTGAGAAATCAGCATTCCAGCCAGTTTGAAATGGCAGCCCCAAGGTGCCCTAGAAATTTTGTTTTTCAAATAAAGGCATGTCAGCTGCTGGACAAAAAGTGATGTATACTGTCTACTGGGCAGCATTCTGGCCAGACACCAAATTTGGAGAGTGTCTCCCTGTACTCTGGGTTCTAGCGAGGTCATCCTTTACAGCCGGTCCAGCCCCATGAATGAGACTCTATTCCAAAGAAGACCAAAAATGAAAGCAGCGTTTAAGACCCATCAGCCCAAAACAAAACAATTCTAACTTGTCACCTCTAAAATACTTCAAGAGGCTGGAATAAAAGTACTTTTGAATCAGCTGCAATCAAATACATAAATGTAACTACTCTAATCACCTGCTCCTGAAAAAAGCAGCAATCGGTCTGTGCGCGCACGTGCGCCTGTGCACCAGGGCCCGGGATGGACGCAGAGTGAAGGGGCTGGCCTTCGAGCTCCAGCGATGCAAGATGGCAGCCACCACGGGCTTGAGAGTAAAAGTCCCTCGCAATTTCCAACTGTTGGAAGAACTCGAAGAAGGCCAGAAGGGAGTAGGAGATGGCATAGTTAGCTGGGGTCTAGAAGATGACGAAGACATGATGCTTACGAGATGGACAGGGATATTAATTGGGCCTTCAAGAATAATTTACGGAAACAGAATATACAGCCTTAAATAGAATGTGGACCCAAATTCCCAGAAGTGAAGTAGGCAAGCATACAGGCTAAAATTGATTAGATTTGTGAACTTGAAGACCACACCTTTGCCATGCCCCTGTCCTCATGCCCCTGCCTGATGCCTTTGCCATGTCCCTGCCTGATGCCTTTGCCATGCCCCTGTGTGGCCACATCCCCCTTTATGACCACACCTGGGTGCCCACTAGCCAATTATATTAATTAACCACTCCCCTTTGGAAGTGGGTTAAAAGCTGGGACATGGTGTGGCCCGGCCCGCTCTTCTTCCCTGGCCTCTTGCCAGGAGGGGACTTGCTGTAGCCCCACGCCTCCAGGGCACATGGCTTTCAGGCCACCTGGCCAATACAGATCTAGATGTTCTTCCACGTGGCTGGTTGCTGGTGCTCAGTATGAACCCCTATTTACCTCTCTCTCTTAAATAAAGCTCTCACTCTTCTATGCATCTTTCTCACTAAATAAAAGCTTAAAACATACCATGCTGCCTCATTTATCTGTGCCGGTATTTAGAATTCTTCTCTAAATATTAGGCAAGAACCCTCTTGGGCTTATTAATATCGGGGATTTAGCAATAAGCCCGTGGTGAAATCATAAGGTACCCCAAATTCCGGTAGCACATGTGGCACCCCAGGTAGCATTTCTAGGGAACTTTAAAGGGCCACATTTTAGTGTAAATTTTAGGGGGTCTTTTCTGATTTCAGAAGCACCCCCCTTTGTATGATTTGTAACAAAAATTAATATGAATGGAGTTAACAGTTCCAACGGAGTGGTGGACCCAAGAGCCATCTCTGTGCCAGCAAAGTGGCAGAACTCGTACAGCATCTGAGTGGTGCCATAGGAGCTGCGGCGCCTGATGATGGCCAAGGACAACATGAAGCTGCCTCAGC